AGATGAGCAGACAGGTACAGATTTGTTCTTGACTGCAGAACAGGCAGCTTCTTCTATTGCTAAAGCGTTTCATAAAAACTAATCAGTTCTGGGCATGCTCAAATGATTTCAGCTGATGGAAAGCTTGGTACATGTATACACACGTCATGATTGGATCCTTTTATTTAGTGTCCATATAGAGAGATTGTTTCTTTCATAACAACAGGGCAGTTATGAGTGGAGGGTTGGCCAGCTTCAAGCCCCAGTGAGGTCAATCAAAGATACAAGCCTGATGCAAGTTGTTCTTCGGAAAAAGACGGAGCTACTCAAAGGGCATGATCGCCTTGTTACTTGTTACCTCATCCTCTAGTTTTCTGCTCCTACTGTCATGTATAGTGGAGGCGAAGGACTGAAACAGCAACAGGACAGCAGCAGAGTGGAAAAGAGGCAACATAAAACAGGAGGGGTCCACTGCATGTCAGAGCTCTGCAGAGCACAGCTGGACACACGTTTAGGGTCAGGTTACTAAAACAGGAGGGGTCCACTGCATTTCAGAGCTCTGCAGAGCACAGCTGGACACACGTTTAGGGTCAGGTTACTAAAACAGGAGGGGTCCACTGCATTTCAGAGCTCTGCAGAGCACAGCTGGACACACGTTTAGGGTCAGGTTACTAAAACAGGAGGGGTCCACTGCATGTCAGAGCTCTGCAGAGCATAACTGGACACACGTTTAGGGTCAGGTTACCATGGAGGAGCTGGAGGACCCTACGGTACAAACTAATTTCTGCAAACTAAATCAATCTCAGCTTCTTCTCACTTTTCCTCCGTTCTGAAATCACTTTAACCTGTTCAGCTTAGTGATTTAAAATGAATTTTGTCCTACAAAGATTAGCGTTTATATCAAATAGAGCCAAACATAAAAAAACAGTCTGTGCAAACAAAGCCTTGCTGTGCAGTGTGTCTGCCTTTGCTTACATCAAGCAGGGATGCCTGCAACTGTGAGGGGCATCATTTTCCCAATCTTTTCACAGTGGTATGATAGATCTTTTTAAACCACTTTTACCTTCTTTTCTTTCTTTTTTAAAGGCTCAGCCATCCTTAATAATTAATGAAAAGAACGTCGCCCCCCTTGGCTGCCCCATTAAGCTATTTAAAAAAATTTAGAACTCCACTATACCTTGATTAGGAGACAGTTAAAAGGTGACTAGTATCTGCTGAAGCCAGCGCCGTCCAGGAGAAAGAATTCAGATATCTACAGTAAAGTCTAATACATTTGAAAAACTTGTTCATAAAAAGACATTTTGAAACAAACTAAGCTAAAAAGTAAAACTATTTTTTATTTTCAAAAGTATAATTTTATCCTTATTCATCCTACTTATTTGCACACACACTGTTCACCATTAATTTAGTTCCTGCTCCACTTGTGAGCGGGGATGGTTTAGTCTCAAGCTCTTGATGTGTGTTAACCTCTTAATGAGCCTGAGGCAGCAGAACATCTCATTACAGGCGACAGGACGGGCCGTAAACATATCCTGTAGGAAAGGACGGCGACGGTAAGCAGCAATTAACAAGATGTAAAACACTTTTAGAGGTGTAAGGAATAATAACTGAGAAAAGCCTCTGATTCAACAATTATCTGACACAGGATTTAACTTTAAGAGGAACCATATTGCAACAATCACTTCAAAGGACCAATATTATAAATAAATGAATAATGAGAGCGTGTATTTGCCGTTTGTACAGGAACATTTGGAGATGCCATGTCTGTTTGGATGTCGGTGAGCAGAAAGATGGGGCCTGCTATGGGATTCTGTTAGACGGCTGGCTCAGCTAGCCAGGAGGTGGTTTAATGTCAGTATCCAAACCTGGGGGAATGGGCATCAGAGCCTGCCTTTCAGACACAGCATTCTGAACGCACATTAGCTAAAACATGGAGTAAGAAAGGTAAACGTTCATTTGTGACTTTATACACAGGCTTCAAGACACATAAGGAAGGGCAGCATCAAACAGGGCTACATCAGACGGTCCTCATGCTCTGACAAGCTTCAGCCTTTTCAGTCATCTGAACATTATGGTGGAATTTTTACTTTGGGATCTCACCACGCGCTAGTGACACCGTTGTACTCGTGCACGAGTTTCTGTGCAGCCCTCCTAATTTGCGGAAGCAAAATATGTTTTGACAGATGAGGGCGAAGATATACTGTGCCTCCTCTGTGAGCCTCCTCCTGATTTGCCTGGGCAGAGATAATCACACAATGTCATGGTTTTGGTTCTGTTCAAGTTTTATCTCTTTGTTTTCATTGGTCTTATTTCCATTCTTGTGTTCTAGCTATTTTGATTGTATTTAAGTTCTTAGATATTTCTTGTTTGCCATCTTGTGTCAGTCTTCTTTTCCCTAGCTCCCTTCTAGCCTCCTCTGTTCACACCTGCTCCCAATCTGCTAATTAGCCACCTGGTCTTAGTATCTCTCTCCCATATATTCTCCCCATGTTCAGTCACTCTTTGCTGGTTTGTTGTCCTTTTTTTGCCTCCTTCTTGTGAGTACTCCTGTTTCTCAGTTTTTGTGGATTTTGTGGATTTATGTTTTGGATTTTAACTTCTGTTGAACTTTTGGTTTATTAAATCTTCCAGAAACCACTTCAGCTTTTGTGTCTGCATTTGGGTCCTGTCAAACCTCCTCCCCCACTTGACAGACAGGAAGTAGTGTCAGGAAGACTTTTGCTGGCTGCTTTATCTTATAAGTGAAGATGGTGGCTGCAAGTGGGACAGTGGAGGAGGCAACATTTGGCAGATTGGTTAATTGGAATTCCCAGCAATTCTTCCCCAAAAAATATTCCTCAGGAAGTAGCGCTGTAATCATGTCAGCGCAGGCCAATCAGGAGGAGGCACACAGGGGAGGTATGTCTCCGCTCCACCGGTCAAAACACATTTTGCTTTGCGTCAAGAAAAAATCAGTACAGAGGCACCTTCAGCAGTGCAGCCGTCCATGAGCCAGGGCGGCGGCCAGAAAGCAGTGCACAAATAGAACAGTGTTGCACACTCGTGGTGAAATCTCGGCAATGCACTGGAGGTAGGGGCACCCGCATCGGAGCTATTGCTCTCCACTTACTCGCAACTACTGAGGCAAATGAATCAACCATGACTTTAAACTTTTGCAATGCTTTTCCTAAAAAGTATTAAAAGTTGATATAACCAGTACAATATTATTTAATGATCTAGAAAAACCAGAGATGCTAAAGGAGCAAAAAATATACATAAAAATCTTTGGGCAAGAACAAAGCAAGATGGAACAAAATGTTTAAAAGTCACTAAAGAGTTAAAAATGAATTTTATACCAGAAATATATTATTTCTATATAGAAGAACATATATGGCATTCAGCCAAAATCTTCAGTCACTATAGACTCTGATGTTAGTTTATTAATTGTAGTGAACACACCAATAATTAGTAACAACAGTTTCAGATTGAAACTGTAAATATTGATTATTCATTAGTTTGTGTTCAGCTAATTAAACCACGTAAAAATCTGCTCCAACTTATAAAATATTGTTATGGTTTTAGTATTTGTGTTCAACAACAGCAGCTGATTGTACCTTTATCACTGAAGTCGTCGACCAGGATGATTTCTGCGATGAGCTCTGGAGGAGAGCGGTTGATCACGCTGTGAACCGTCCTCAGCAGCGACGACCAGCCCTCATTATGAAACGGGATGATGATGCTGGTGTTTGGCAGCTTCTCTGAGTACAGCTTCAGTTTGCAGCTGCAAACACAAACAAAAAAACATCATTATTACAGTATTGTGGTTTCTGCAAAGGGGCACAACAGTTCCTTCCCATATGCATCAGCCGTGAAGCGATGGACGCTTAGCAGGCTCTTTGTCAGATCCTGGGTCAGAGTTTGAACCCATTTACTCGCCTTGTTCACAGCAGCTCTGCAAACTGGGCTTGATTCCAGGAGCAATCTTTGTATAACAACAATTTTCAACCAGTTTCTAGAAATAAGAGACAATAGTGTTTTCCACAGAGTATTCCACATAACATTTTTCTTTTCTTTATGTTTTTTTATTTTATTTTTACGCAGGGTGATAAGCATTGTATAAAATAAAAACTATTTTACTGAATGTTTTAATGTGAGCATTTAATTCTTAAGCATTTTATGTTTTCCAGCTAAAAAACAACAAAAAACCACATTCATTTTTTGCCTCGAAGTTGCTAAAGAATCGAAATAAATCCAAAATAAAATCCTATTATAACCCTTTATTTATAAAACTGCAGCTCCTCTGAGTGACTGCCTTATAATCACATTTAAACTGGATTTAAACTGGAACAAAACACAGAACCAAAATTATAATCAGAATGACTTTATTGGTTTTACTTGAGCTGCTTTGACGAGCTCTGATAGCTCAGTGTGAAAAACTGATGATATCAGACTACATAACAGTCTACATCCAGACTGTTCTCTACATCCAGACTGTTCTCTACATCTAGTCTGTTCTCTACCTCCAGTCTGTTGGATGCGGGTC